CACTGTCTCTGACACTCCCATCCCGATTACCCCAGTCACTGAATCAATCCACCTCCTAGAGGACCTTCCCCTCCTGCACTGTCCCTCCACTTTCCCAAGCATGATGTCCTTCTCCAAGGACCGGTCTCTCCTTACAACATGTCCAAAGTATGTTAGATGGAGCTTCAGAGTCCTGGCATCCAAGGAACCTCCTGGTTTAACCCTTTCCAGGATGAATCTTTGTTTTCCTAGCAGTCCATGGTACTCTCAATACTCTTCTCCAGCACCACAGCTCAAATGCATCAATTCTTCTATCCTCCTTGGTCATTGTCCAACTCTCTGATGCATAACAAGTGATTGCAAAGACCATGGCCTGTATCAGACTCACCTTAGTCTCCAGAGAGACACCGTTGCTCTTCAGTACTTTGGAGAGGTCCCTAACAGCAGACTTTCCAATGGCAATGCGCCTTTTAATTTCCTGGCTACTGGTGCCAAGAGTGTTGACTGTGAAGCCAAGCAACCTAAAGCTGTGAACAACCTCAATCTCTTCACCATCCATCCTGATGCTGCCAGTTGGCCCAGTGGTGAGAATCTTTGTCTTCTTGACATTGAGCCTCAATCCATATTGGAGGCTGCAGTGCTTGACCCTCTGCAGCAGGTGCTTCAGGTCCTCCTCAGTTTCAGCAAGCAGGGCTGTCATCTTCATAACGCAGATTGTTGATAGATCATGGGTTTTTAGAGGCTGTAAATTGCATGGGAAGAGACTGTTACCTTTCTCCAGCAGAGCCCGTAAGAGTTTTGAGCTGCATTGCTTTTGAAGTGGAAACAAAGGAGGGGAAGACCCTCAGTGAGATGGACTTACACTGTGACCATAGTAACAATGGGCTCCAGACGAGGATGGTACAGGGCAGGCCAGGGTTCAGACTTGGACTACACTCGAAAGCACCTAACAACAGACGTCATTCTTTCTGGACATTGTTTGGTTTTTTTTTGTTTTTGTTTTTAAGAAATGGACTCTGAAGAATAAGGGAACTGCAGGTCATTTTCTTTTCTCTGTACCTGAAGAGGGCAACACTGAGGATGTGATGAATCTGCAGCTCATTCTGCTTTTAAGTAGTGACCATGACATGGAGTTGGAGGACGGAGCAGTCACTGTTGCTAGGGAAAGGCCTGACCTGGACAGGGTCTGTGATGAAAGTGAATGGTGGGCGGATGGCGCCAACTTTGAAAGAATTGCTTGCTTCACAGCGTGCTAGAGTTGACCCAGATCGGACGCAGGGAGACAGGGATGAATTGTTTTCTGTTTGTGGTCATGGAAGAGAGACTGGAATTGACAAAGGACCAAACTAATCTTTAAGTGACTCCAGAAAGGACGGCCTGAGAAGTGAGGGCAGGACAAGAGAATGCCAAGGAGAGACAGGCAGCGGCCTGCTGCAGAGGCAGGGGACGGGCCTGCTGGGCACGTCCAAGGGCAGACACATCCTGGCGGAGCACACATTGCTGGTCCTGACGAACCCCTCTTGGCCATGACTGCTGCAAAATTTAGGACTAAAACAAGATCCTGGACTGGCCCAGGACACACAATGCAGTAACTCAACAAAGTGCACAGCAGAGAAGCTGGCCGTGACAGGTACCCAATTATCAACACTCTGAAAGATGCCATGGCAGCTGGTCAAAGCCTGGTGCCATCATGAGCTGTTCGCCAACCAAGTCGGTTAAGTGCAGGTATGAGGCCTGGTTCTGCCTGACTCGTGAGCTGGCTTTGCCAGCCAGCTGGGTATCTAGTCCAGAAAAAGAAACTCCAGCTTCCCTGGCTCCCTCGGGGAGTGCTGCCCTTGGGCTGCGACAGGCAGTAACCCTTCTCACATGGTCACTGCCTTCGACAACTGTTGTGCTTCCTGCCTCCTGATGAAAAGCACAAATAGAAGGGGACCATGCGGCCCGCACAGTGCGAGCCTGGTGGCGAAGGAAGGGAAGCATTTCAATGGAAAGGACGTGTGTGTCAGCAGTAAACGGGCAGCTCAAGAATCCGAAGTTCAACCCAGAGGACAGCACGGGTGTCAAGACACAGCAGACACTCCTCCCAAGTCCCTGCCTCAGAGGGGTTGCAGGACAGGAGCCATGAAGGTGGCGGTGGGGCCACTTCCACTAGGGGTGGACAACCAGGTGTTCTGGATGGCGGCACTGACTGACTGCCGGATTTCCTTCTTCAGCTTGACTTCTTGGCTTTGTAAGCGGTTTCAGCATGTGGCCCGTAACCACGGGGGCGGATTTTCTCCAGCCTTGCTTCCAGCAGGCAGTCTGTTCTGTGCGGGGACCTCAAAGGTCCTTTTGGGTGAAGAGGCGGCTGGGAGTTGGGGGGTGTGCCACGTGACACGTGCTCCTGTCAGGCTGAAAGGGGTGGCATGGGGACTGCGGACGCAGGAGGAAGGAGACTCAGACAGCCGTTCTGTGCAGCCACTGTGGGACCTTTATGTGACACCCCACATTTCCAAAAGTTTTACATAATATAAATGTGCTAAGAAAACACTTTTTCTCATGCCTCATCCCACTAAGTGTACCTCCAGACTCAGTCAGTGGGACACAGGTGTCCCAGGTAGTATGTGGAAACGCATCTGACCTAACACAATGTTAATACTCAGTGACTCACCATGCATTCCATCAGAGAAACAACCCTTTATCACCAAGATCTAACAAACACAAAGGAGTCTGGTCATGAAAAGGCTAAAGAAGAGTTACATGTGGGTTTGGTCTGGTCAAAAGTGTAAAAAGACAGTGAACAGGCCACCAGCTGCCTCAGGACCAGGCTCCTGCTGCGTCGGCCCCAGCACACGGGCGTCCACGGCTGCATGTCACCCTGTGGCTTTCCTGCTGGGCCCTTGTGGCTGTGACTGCATCCGGGAGCCCAGGCTTTGGGTACTGATGGTCAACAAGTCTGGGCCTTTGATATTTTGGATGTTTAACTCTACAGATATCAAGTCTTCTGATAAGCAGGAAAGTGGAAGAAGTTTTAGACATCTCTTGAGATTTGAAAACACCACACCAATTGTTCAATGCTTAAAGATGAGAGTTAAGGAACTGAGCCATCCTAACCCTAAAGCTAAAGAGATTTCAGTACACGGACCACAGCCTTGAGTGCACGAAGCTCCCACCTGGTACTCTGACTGTTACAGTTTCATGTCTTTAACACAGCAGGAGATTCCGCCACTGCTGAGCGAGTGCACCTGTCTGCCACTGTGATTCACTATGGAATCCCGATCAAGGCCATTATACTGCAGTAGGAAGAGTGAGGATTCTTGGATGCTATTTAATAACATGAAAAAATAAATGCCCGAGCAATTGAACAACTCCATGGGCTGACAGCAGATATCTGACAGACCTCCGTGTGCGCTTACATTCTTTTCATCAGTCTCGGGACTGAGCGAGAATGTGGTGACATTCACTTTTGCTCCCAGAACTCTTTCTGTTTCCAGCCTGATGTAAGAAAATAGCTACCACTATGCAGTCTCAGAAAAAGATTGCCTGCTTCTCTGAAGAAAATGGTAATAATACATATTATATGTTTATACAGGGAATAGACATGGCTCCTTTTCCCCAAAAGGAGAAAGACTAGCTTTGAAATTGGAAATAGAGTCTTAGTATTGTACGAAGTGCTCATAATTCAATAAAACTCAGTATATTAAAAAAAAAAGACATTGAACACAGTCATCTTCAGTCGTTTCCCAGGTCGCCCCCAGAGGCCCAGCTAGCAGGAAGGCGGGCTGTACACACACAGCCAGCTCTGACGGTGTGCTGTGGCCTCTTACAGATGCAGCCTTCCCAGAGCCACACTCTCTACACAACTTGCCAAATTACTGTTATCCGGGGAAAAAGAATTCCCAGGCTCATCTGTATTCTGCAACTGCTCACTGAGACTCAGAAATCCGAAAAATAAGTCAGGTACAAGCTCTGTGGCCACAGCATGAGGAAAGCTTATGACTTGGTCCCTGACACTACGGCACCCGCAGGAAAGGGCAGTGTCCCCTGGACCGCACAGCCGGCACACACACTGACGGGGTGGCAGGAGTCTCTGACATCACCAGGGACCAGGTGTGCCGAGCCAAGAAGCCAGGAGACACAACTTTCTCGTGTTCAGTCGAGGCATTTCCAAGGGAAAAAAATCACAGAAATAACACTGTGGATACAACAGAACACATTTGGCAACTTTCAAAGAAAAATCCTTCCCCTCCTCAGGTCACAAGAGGGGCTACAAAGTTCCTCCACCCTTGGTCTAGTTTAGGAGGACAGGGAAGGAACACTGAGAGAACAGGGGAGAAAAGGCCACAGAAGCGCTTCTACAGAACTACAGCTCCCATTTCTCCAGCGCCAAGTTGGGGCAGGACGGAGCCCGGCCTGACCCTCTTCTCGGGGAAGAAGGCAAACTCTCTGCAGGGTCCCGGCTGCTAGAGACAAACACGGCAAAGCTGACAGGGAGCAGTCAAGGCCCCCAGCCACGCTGCAGAATGAGGGGGAGAAGAGCAGCCCCTCCTCCATGTGGCTGCTTGACACAGAGGATCAAGGCGTCCTCGGAGCAGCTCACTCACAAGGCGCTACTGGAACCGTCAGCATCTGCTTCCTTGAGGCAGCAAAGGAGCAGAGAGCACAGCGCAGCTGCAGAGTCCACTTGGCACACACGGTGACATGGCACAGCTCAGGGACAAGCCCTCCTTCACGTGCTCCGGCTTCTCTGCAGTCCAGGCCACTGAGAAGGAGCTGGCCCCTCTCCTCCCTGACCCCCAGAGCCCCATGAAGGCTCCAACTGCGGTGGTAGGTCGGTTAGAACACTGGCTAAGAAGACAAAAGCAGGTTTCTGAGAAGGTGCTCTGTAGCCAGGGGCCGCATGGGCTCTGGATTCCTGCAGGTGGGCTGGGGGTCTCCCGGGGCCAGGCTCAGTCGCTCGCGGGAGCTCGGTACTGTACAGGAGCAGGGACCGCGCAGACACACTCTGGACTGTGCTCTTGACGGCGCTGCCAAGTCTTCCTTCACATTCGAGATCCTCTCTCCTGAAGAATCTGAAAGTGGAGACAGGGAGAGGCCTGAGACTCTGGACCTTTCCAGGCTCAGGGTGCTCTGCACATTGATGGGGGGACAGTGAGGCCAGAAATAAACCCAATGCTCTCAGGAAGCGAGGAGGAAGTGGAGCCTCGGCCACGTCCGAAGTATCGGCTGGGGAAAACTCTTCACCAGTTAGCTGCTGGCTGGAGTCTCCCCGTGCTGAGGACTAAAGAGCAAGGCTTCCGCTTCTTCAGCGAGCAGTGGGAGTGCGTGTGGAAGCAGGGATGCACACACACTTCCCGGGCACCACGGACGAAGAAGAAAGGAATGGTGCACAAATCTTTGCCATCACTGAAGAGAGGGCAAAAGTCACAAAGGAACAAGGAGTCCTTCTACGGGCACAGCCTAGGGCGCATGAGGGGTGGCCAGTGACAGACTGGGCACAGCCTAGGGCAAGGGGTAAGGGAGTGTGGCTAGCAACAGGCCTGGGGCACAGCCCAGAGCCGCGAGGTGTGGCCAGTGACCAGTGACGCTGGGACACAGCCTAGGACCGCGTGAGGTGTGGCCAGTGACAGGCTCGATGATAACAAGATTTATCTGCCAGATAGGGACATGGTTAGTGCCGCTTTCCACTCCAAAACAAGCCCCAGACTCAGCAGCCTTGCTGCTCAAAGGCTTCAGCCTGCAGCAGAAGGGGTTTTCTTTGGACTGACAAAACTCAGCCTGACCTGAGAACAGGGGGCCACAGCTTCAAGCGCAATAGGACCTGGAGGCAGGGGGCCAAAATGAGAAGAGCAGGGGTGCAATTCAACCTGATAAAACAAACTTGTTCAAATTCCTGAGTGGGAAATATTTGATTCAGATTTTCTAAATGCCAATTTTAACATTTAGAAAATTTAAAAACAGTGACAACACCTTTTTTCTGCCAAATAAGTTTCAAAGACTTTCAAACTTGAGTTCAGAATTCTTCCCTTGAATGGTGACAAGGTTTCTTTTCTGTTGGTCTGACAGAGGTTGTGGAGAGCCCACCCTGCAAAGGCTCACATTTTCTAAATGCAAACGTCACTGCAGGGGACACCCTGATGAGAAATCCAAGAGCCCAAAGCCCATGAGGTGCAATCAGCTCAGGCCAAGACTGAGGGCCAGGAGCTGGGGGCGGACACCATGCGGAGACGCTGTCTTACCTTTGCCTTCTCACTAGGCTCTATGACGATGCCGTTGGTGGAATTATTGAGCTCCCGGGAGACAACACACAGGAACTCTGCCTGATCCTCGTTCCCATAGTTATAGGAAGATCCAATGCTGATGAGCTGAGGACACAGGATATGGTGACTAACACACTGCAGCACGTCAGCCACACTCTCCTCTGGACACAAGGAACCTTGTTCTTTTACTTCTCAAAACCCACCCACTGCCATCGCGTTGATTCTGACTCCCAGTGACCCTGAAGGACAGAACTGAACTGTCCCACTGGGTCTCTGAACTTGCACAGAAGCACATGGCCTCATCTTTCTTGGGAGGAGTGGCTGGTGGGTTTGAACTGGCAAGCTTTTGGTTAGCAAGAAGATTCTCTTAGTCCCTGCACCAGTTGGGTTCCAGGCAAGCAAGGTCTCAGGTCCTAACTTTATGTCAGCAGTGCAGGAGGGTTTGGCCAGTGAGGTTGTCCCCAAGCAGCCGCCCATGCGCTCTGCCGCTCCCACCCCTCGGCTAAGGTTCTGATGTAACCCCAAAGGTGGCCATTTCTCCTGATGTACAGCCTTGAGCAAAGAATGTTACAAAAAAGTACTCTGTGAGACTTGAACAATCTCTCATCTTGGTGTTCTCATCTTAGTGTCCTGAATACAATTCAGCAGCCGAATTCAGTGTTCTGACTCTGAGCTGGACCTGCACATGCAGAAGCAGCCGAGCCCGAGGGTTAGGCCATTTTGGCAACATGACATTTCCTTTCTCAGGCACTGGGGTGAAACGGAGTGTTTCTGTGAATGAAAAGGGGCACTTGCTTCAGCCAAAACACCTACATGGAGCCGGCTCATCCTAAGCACAAGTCCTAGAAAGGAGACTGGCGTGAGGAAGGATCTGGAAGGCACAGAGGCGTGCACTGCACAGCTCCTCCAGGCTCTAGTCTGCTGCTACTCCTGACCCTTCTGGAAACCTGAATTTAAGATCCGACTCTAAATGGAAATACACACAGAGAGGGAGAGGCGGAGGCTAAGGGTGAAGTCATCTGGTGAGGTCACCGGAGTGATGTGCTTGCGTGGCTAGGCTGCGCCCCTCAACTTCCTCACCCACAGAAGGGGGTCAACGGCAGCCTACTTCATTCTCTCACGGGGCATTAGTAGGATGATGGTAACATAAAAGCGGTCATTCACTCACAAAACCGAGTTTTAAAATAACATCCTTTAAAAGACAAAACAACATCCTTTGCTCGAGACTTGATGTCTGGGAAAGCACTTGAGAGCGGAGAATGCTGAACTGCTGACAACAGTTTGCAACCCCCACTCGTAGAAGAGGACTTAGCTCATGTGCACAGGGCCGGGCTCTGTTGGGGAAGGGAGGTCAAAGGGCAGCTGAGCAGCAGGTTTATATTTAGCCTTTCCGACCCTGTTATCACAGGCAGGGACTTGTACCTTAGAAGCCAAGTTTATTGTTGCAATCCCAGTGACCTTTCAAACTCTACCTAACACCATGCATGAGTCAGGGAAGATGAGCTTGACCGTTCCTGCCCGGTCTGCGACCATCCGAAGTGATGAACAATTCTGCCACCTACTGACAGCAAACAGCAAAACCCAGATCCGCAATTCCTCCTCAGCCGCGCTAACACGGAAACTAAAGGACCAGCCCTGCCACCCGTGGCTCCTCTTACTTTGGCCCCAATCACACTGACACACAATGAGACGGGAAGGGGTGCTGGGGCCTCATCTTCCCTAGGTGTTCCAGGGGGCATCAACGGGGCCTGCCCCACACTCACCAGAGGATCCCTCCAGGTGGCCCCGCTCCAGCCTAATAAGCGGCAGCTCTCCATGGACACAACTCAGTTGAAGACTTTGGATATGAACTTGGGGGGCTCTGCACTGTTCTCATCTCCCAACCCACCATGCACGCCTCATAAGCCATGTAGCACATCATTCACGCAGCCTGGCTCTCCTCGTTCACGCAGTGCAGCTCTCCTCTGTGTTTTTAAATGGGTGCACTGGCCCTACTGACCTCTTGGGGTTCTCGGCTGGTTACGGAGGGTGGCTGTTTGAGGAGGTGTGGGCTCCAAGGCGGAGACAGAGAGGTGACGGCAATTTAAGAGACCTACCTGTTCAAATTTCCAACCATCAGACATAGTGGAGACCATCTGTGTGAGTTCCTCCTCTTGGCACTGCAGGACTCTGTACACGTGCTTCACGGGGCCCTAGGACAACCGGAGACAGGCTGTCAAGAGCCACGGCAAGGACTGAGCCTGCAGCTGGCTCCGTGAGGCTCATCGAGAGGCCGCACGGAAGAAGAGGCCGCTGGGAATGCGTCCCCCTTTCTAGCCACCACCCGCCCTTTCCAAGCTGCACTGTAATTTCGTACAAAAAGCTGATTAAGGAAAAAGGGGCCCCACGTATAAAAAGGAGAACCATGTATAAAAACACACCGAACTTTAGATGGATGAATTATGTGAACCACCACGCTGACAGAACTTCGGACTCATCCACCGCCCTAAGCAGACCGTGAAATCCCTCACTGCTACCTGACACAGGTATGTTGATAATGGACTGTGTTCTGGTTTATTCACTGTGATGTTAAAACCAAACCCATTACTGTCAATTCCCTGCAGGACAGAGCAAAGCCTGTGCAGTGGCTGGTGGGTTTGAACAGAGAACCTTAAGGTTAGCAGCTAAGTGCCATAACCACTGCATCACCAGAACTCCTCCTGATACCTTCTTACAGGAACAACGTCCAGATCGTTCAAAGTCTCAGGCTGTTTTCACTCTCTCCTAATGCTGCCCGACTACAGAAGTTTTTCTGAGTGTTAAATAAAGATATCCCTTTTATAGACGTCATTTGCTGACCAACTCCTCTCTCCAGAACATAAGCTGGAACTGGATTCCCAAGGCGAGCTCCCAACACAGCTGTGGCCTTAAAGGTCCTAAACTTCAGCCTCTGGGAGCCCCTGTGACCACGTCGGGGGTCAGGGATCCCCCACGAGATGGGGTGAGCAGTGGCTGCCGGGCGGCACTCTCACCCGCAGATGTTTGCGCACATGAGGCACGTGCACTACGGTACCTGGACCCCTGTGTCGGGTCCACTGCTGGCTCTGGGGGTAGGGAGGCGGGCATGGACGGACAACAGACTGGAGGACACCAGCAGCAAAGGCCGCAATGAGGCCCTCAGTCACGCAGAGACGGCCAGCCATGTTAAAACTGATGTGAAGAATGTACGAACAGAGCTCCGGCAGCGTAGTGGCAAGAAGCTGCACTGCAATCCCAGGGGTGTGCGGTTCGAATCCATCAGATGCTCTGCTGGAGAAGGAGGGGCAATCTTCTTCTGTACCAGTCAGATCCGATTGGTACACATAAAAAATTATATTTAAAAAAAAGAATGTATGAACGTTCCCGTAAAAATGATAAAAATTAGGCTGGACGAAGCCCTGAAACTAGTGCTGTGAGATCAACTTTAAGCATGACGTCATCTTTAAACCAAATAGTTTAACTGGATCAATAAACAATGCTTGCCTTGAGCACTGTGCTCTTTGAAGAACCACCTGTAGGGGGTTAAACTGCCAACAGTCACTCAGAGATGGGCTAGGAAGCATCAGGTGCAGTGAACTGTTGCTAACAGCTGAGCAAACAGCTCAGAAAAGGAGAGTCAGGGCCCAACCTGAAGAATGCCATCTTCATCATTTAACTGTGCCCGCTGAAACCTGCCGCGTCTGGCTGTGCACATTCTAACAACAAAGGACATTTAAAAAATCTACCCAGAGCAAACAAAGCTAGCAAGCTTAGAGAGAAGTGGAGCTTAAGAAATGGAGGAGGTCATTTTTAAAGACAATGTCAAATCCTTAAATCGAAGCATGCCTTGACTTAACTGAAACCCGTGAACACTTTTTTGCCGGGGGTGGGGGGAACCCCATCAACAACAAAAACCAGCTTAGACTGTGTACTTTTTCAAAAGGATGAGTGAGTTTCAGCTATGTGGGAAATAATCCAGAACACTCGGTCTTCTCAGGCCCCCACCTGACACATGAAGACCCGCCCCTTACAGAGTTAGGGGCTCCTGAAGCTTCTCAGTCAGCAAGTGCATCGGAGAGAGGGCTGGGGCCTGACCCAGGTGTGCCTGGTAATACTGCATTTCCTCTTCTAGGCTTTCTCCTTAAACACAGTCCTGCATCGTTAACCAAACCACTAAGCGCACACAGAACACAGGACAGATGCCCAAAAGATTCCAACTAGCTGGAACCACACATTTTGGAAACAACCAGCTATTTTATATCATGGAATATTAAACCATCAAAAAAAAACGATGATACTGGTCACAGCTGTCAAAGTCCCAGATTGAAGATATCTCCGCTATCCCTTTCTCTTTGCTTTCAAAGTAAAATCCGGAGCTGTCAAATACATCAAGATTAATTCCCCAGAGAGAATAAAAACAGGATCAGAAGCAGCAGAGTAGTGAGAATGGTGGCAGCTAGTCAGAGAGATAAGGAGAGTCTGAAGCAAAGGTCTTGGGCTCTGCCATAAGGAACTGTCACAAAGGTGGTGACACGTTTGAAGGGACAGCCACAGAAATCCACAGACAGCTTCATCTCAGAGGCATAAGTGGGCCGTGACAAGGGCGAGTGCCTTTGAACACCATCAAATCCATTTCTCAGTTTCACTAAACAAAAGGGACAGATGGGAAGCTCAATTAACATCAAAAGGGTCTTGACATTCTTAGAACAAAAAAAGGCTTCCAACTGAGTCTAGAGGCTGGCCTTCAAAATCTGCAGGACTAATTAACTTAATTGCTGCCATCAGAAAGATATCTCACAATGCTTTCTAGGAATCGGCTACTAATGGCAAAAAAAGAAACAAGAAAGAGAGAGAATGTTCAGGTACTACGATTTGACCTATTTCAAATCAAACAATTCATGGAACTGTCCAAATCATACTAGGTTATTTTGGAATGTAGAAAGCAGGAGGTAAAGCGAGATTTCCACATGTCTAAGCCACCAAATATACGACATGAAGGATGTCGTATAAGATGGGAAGACGGGCCTCTAGCACCAGATCTCATTTCATGTGATAATATGCAGACCAACCACAAAGGCACCTCTGAACACTGCTGGCTAAGTGGAAGAGAATGAAAATTAAGTAAGTCCTGTTTTCCACCTTTGTGAACTGCTAGAGAGAGAAAAACATTTTTAAAAATTCATTTTTTTAAAACATAGGAAGGGTCGTTATTTAGTGAGAATTCCCCTTAGAGGCTGAAAATGGTGCCTTACGTGAGCCCAACACAAGAGAGTAAGACACTTTGTTCTTTTTTGAAAAAAAAACACAATCTACAGCTTGCTTCTTAACGGAAGAAAATTCCACTTCCACCCTGCTCTGGATGAGACCTCAGGAGAGTAGCTGCCAACCTGTCACAGGATAGATGGTGAGGTATGCTCAAGGCAGACAGACGGTCCTGGTGCAGAACGGCTCTGCCCGTGCTTAGCATAACTCAGTCATTTGTCTACTTAGCTGTTATTTGTAACATACACCACAAAACACACACCAATTCAGCTCTTTCTACATGCATGATCTTGTGCCACTCTTTTCACCTTTTTTCTGAGTCTTTCTCTTCAATTACTAGACGTTCAGTGACTCCTAAGGTTCTGATCTCATCTCTCAAGTTGCTATTTTGACCGTTTTTTTTTTGCTAGTTTTACGTTTTATGAGCCGTTTCTAATGCATGCATTCTTTACTGGTCAAGAGACTGTTCAGTTTTAATAAAATTACAGGGGGATTACCGCAGGGTGAAAGTTTCAGGGGTTCCATAGTTCCAAAACTTGTGGAATTTTTTAAAAATTGGAAATTCTCTTCTGAATTTCCTCCCCTTTTGATCAGCATTCATCTATGGAATTGTTGCTCAAAATGTTCCATGATGACAGCTGAGCACCACCCAGCTTTTCTGGTCTTAGGGCAAAAGTAATGAATCACACATTGTATATCTTCTTCCTATTCCTGACGCTCCTTGTCTCTCAGTTTCTCTAAGTAAATAGACAGACATCAATTATGCTTTGGACAGCTACTTGCAAGCTTTTACAGCCTGGGGAAGTAGTTAGAACAAAAGGACTACTCGTATTATTAGGTCAAATATCTGACATTTCCCAGAAAGAGCTCTGTGGGAAAGTTCTCAAGTTTAGACTAAGTACATAAAACCTAGGGTCTGTTTTTTTTCTGTTAGATTTTAAGCTTCTGGAGGGCAAGGACCTTCTTTAGTGTTTAAGTCCTATGGGCCCAGAAACCACCGTGGGCACACTGATGACGATGGACCAGGAATGAGCTACATATATACCCTATCCTCTTCCCTGCTTAAAACTGGGGCGAAGTGTAGGCTTCATTTTGTTAACTACATAATAGAAAGAAAAGCTGTACGTTTTCCCCTGTATATTTACAAGCAGCTTCTAAACGCTCTCCCTGAGGTTCACTCTCAGATGACTTATAGAGCTGGGGGTGATGGGGACAGCACTCTCAGCTTACTTACAAAGCTGGGGGTGAGGGGAGCAGGTTAAACACTCATCGTGTAAGAGTGGCCAAAGGCTGAGGTGAGATCGTGTTTGATCTCATCATGGACAGCATGGTTTGGACCTAACATGCCCGAGTTCCTCCCACTGATGTGTGGTAACCATCGACAATCTCTCTTCTTCTCCAGGGACATGGGGCTGGGGTCCTTCCCTGTGATTCCTTTGCCCATTCTGAACAGTTCTTGGGGTTGGATCTGCTGTGTCTGGTTGAGCATGCTCAGTATGCATGGCAGGTAGACAGTGGTCCGCTCAGACCTCCCGCTCTGAGGGGTGGGCCAGGATGCTCACCAAGCGGCACATTATCCTTCTGAAGTCACACCCTGACGTAAGGACACACTCACACAAGACACTGTTCCCTTTAAAAAGTCAAAATACGTTACTTGTGAAGTTCTGTTCTCATTGTCCCGTATTCGCTCCTTAACCAGTCGCACCAGAGACGCAATGTTGTAAAATTCTGCTTCTTCCAGCACACCTAGAACATGGACCCGACTACAGTTAGAGAACTGTGAGTTCCCCAGACAGCAAGCACTAACTTACATCACCAAGGGCCTAGAGCTCTTTTGAAAATGGCTGCATTTACCAAGTGTCCGTTTTCAAAAGGAAGTCCATTCTCTTTGGTGTTAAAATAAAATTACCTTTTCCCCCACAAGTGAGGTAAGCCCAAGAGCCCGCCTGGCCCATCCGTTTCACCCCCACCGCTTCCTCCTGCACCTGCCCACGAGCTGCAGGAACCCGCTCCCATATGTCACTTAGTTCCTGCAGCTGATCACAGAGGACATCTCACTGTGCAAATTCTGCCCAAAAAAGATCCAGCAGGGGGTACGGACATTTATGTGGACCTGATAGCACAGGATATTCATTACTGAGCATTGCAAAGGCAACCATTAAAAGAATCCCGTGCTAATACGCAGAATCATTAAAAAGCCTTCAGCAGGACAACTAAATGGGACGTGTCTGACAATAATTGAGCATGAACTGTAACATGATTTATCCATACCGTGTTTCCCAAGTTTGATAACAGCACTGTGATTACCTAAGAGTCCATCCTTGTTCTTGAGAAACACGCAAGTATTAAGGGGTGAAGGGGCACGCAAGCTGCAACCGGTCCGCAAATAGCTCAAAAACAACATCGCTGAGACCAAGGGGGGAGGGGCGAGAGAATGAACAAGAATACAAAAATGGCCAAAAAAGTTAAAAAAAACAGTGAATTTGGATAAAGGAAATTCTTTGTACTATTCTTGTCATTTTCTTTAAGTGTGAAATGAAAAAGAAATGAACGTTTTTAGAAAAGATGCTTAAAACGTCTCTTTTCCAGAAATATGATTGTTAGTTTGTAACTGGTGGGGAACATAGAATATACTGTATTATTCCTCTGGTCTTTCATCAGACTATTTAAAATTTTCCAAAACACAGTGTAAACAAAAAAAAGGTAAGACTTCTGGTTTTTGACCCTTTGGAACACACCTTTTTACAGTCACTTTGCTAGCCAGCATGGCCCCTACAGCTCTGATTCAGGGCACGTGGACCTAGAGACAAGCCCCAGTTTTTCATGTAAGGACTTCAGGGAGAACCCCCCAAGCCTTTTGGAAAGATGCTTAGACCCACTTACCGTCTAAACGCCCTACAAAGCAAAAAGATGAAGTGACGATGTACACCTGACAATGAACTGGAGAATAAATTAGGTCAGGCGCAAACATTTGCAGGGAAGCATGAGACCAGAGTCTTAAGAGAAATGAGGCCAATGCTTCCTACTCCCCCCCCCCCAAGGCTGGAAGTTCAAACTGAAATGAAAAATAAAAATAACTGAACGTCAGCAATGTGCTTCCACAAGCTCTGGACCTCCTCGGCCAGCCCCTCCGTAATCGTGGGAAGGGATCAAGGTTATCCTGCAGGTTCCAAAGGAACCCTGCGGCTCTCTGTATAGTTAAGCCGCTGGGTCCCCCTTCTCAGTAAGCAGATGGGAAAGAACAAAACGGGGAGCTCGTGGACAAGAAGAGGCAATGCGTGGTTTCCTGCTCACTTTCAGAAACTTGTCCTACACATGTACGTGAACACAATCTAAATTCAAAAATGTATTCCAGATTCCACCTGGAGGTCCAAGTGTCACATCCACATACTGTTCTTACCTTCTTCTGCCAATTCCTTATTAATGATGAGTTTCCCATGTCGGAGGTAGTTTAGGATAGGCCCGAAGTAGGTGGGATCTCTGTCAATCAGATAGGCCCCTGTCTCATCCTGTCAATCAATCAAACACCAAAATATCATTGTGGAGAACTCCGGAGCTTTAAGCCAAACTCAGAGGAGGCCTTCACCCTCTTCACTGATGCCTTAAGACAACAAATCATCCTACCAGCTAAAAAAATTTAGTCATTTAGCAAGTCAGTAGTGTTTGCCTATCACAAACTATTGGCCAGAAGTCTACATTTATTTCTCTTATGCTTCTAGATAGTTTGAGGCACACATGTACTTATTACAACTATGCATTTACTTGCGGATTTGAGTTTTCTTAAGTCTTTGGACTGCAGTGAACCTCGTAAGCTGGCCAACTATGAACACTCTTTTGTAACATTTTTATAATACACAAAGGTAGACGACAGCTTCCATTAGCCTGAGATCAGAAGAACTAGATGGTGCCCCACTCTCCTCCTGCTCTGACTGGGACCACAGCAGAAGGCGCTGGACAGAGAGAAAAAGAAACACAGAACAAAACAGTGCAGAGACTGGTCTGACAGACCCAAGACTATGACCCTTGGTCATCCTTTAGACCTGCAATTGAGCTCACTCTTGGCAATCAATCTTTTGCCAAATACACAGGCTTCTCAAGTTTTGAGCAATAGTCCCTGTAAGGAATGTGAGCCTCACTGCAATCAACCACAGGAGACCAAAAGGGCAGTATTTTCCCAAAAACAAAGTTCTGAAGGCAGAAAGGGGCAAGAAGGCTATGTGCATAGCAACGGTGACCCAGGGAGGAAGTGCAAAAGAGTGCTGAGGGGACTGTAATCAATGTCGTGAAACAAAATGCTTATAAAAAGAATCTGCTCTGTAAGCATTCGTCCAAACCACAATACAATGCTTTTAACAGGAGGAAGCCCCACAGTGGTGGGACTTAACGTCTACATGTTGAAGCAGACATTCCAACTTTGCCTCCCAAGCATATTCCTAATTCTAAGAAAACCTCTATTCAGTTGGCTGTGCTCCCTGAGCTCGAGGCCAACAGCGGGAGCCTGCACTGCCAGCTGTAATCTCTCACAACCCCAGCTCTGTGCCCACAGCAAGCTTGGCATCGCCAGGACCCTGGTTCTCAACAGCTTTCGCTCGATTCTTCTTCACAGTAAAAAGACCAACAAAAACCTGGCTTAGTTGGCAACACGGATGATGTAAAGTCAGTGTCAACAAGAGTTTGGGGAATCACTTTAATTTAAGGCAGGAGAGATTTCCACCAAGCGGAGGTTAACGGAAAGGAAGCTGGGCAGGAGACAAAGGGATGAAGCCAACTCTTGTTTACAGAACCACAGCTTGGCTGTACGGGGTACCCAGCGAAGAAAGCTGTGATCTGTGCCCTTAAGGGGGAAAATCCAAAGAAGATGTAAAAATAAAGAAAAGGGGCG